GAAATATTCTAATGATGTTCACCGCAACTGGCTTTTACAGCTTCACTGAACGTTAGCGGGTGGGGCTGATGGCATTTCAAACCCGACGAAGGATTTAAGTAGCCAGTTTGGTTTGAGGACTAACTCAGCTTGGGATTCAATATTATTCGATAATTTCGGTCCCCGTTTGAAATGAATCGAGCGGAGAAGCATGTAGTTATCTGTCAAAAATTGTTATGCCCAATTTACACTCAGCCCGAGTGGGCAGGGAAGTGAGCAGCGCGAGAGTGTAAACACGAGTGGAAACACTTCCCATGCCATTGGTGCGCCCGGCGCTCTCTCGATTGTCGGTTTTTCGTGCGCGAGTCAAAGGACTGGCAGCGCGAGTGGCAGCGTGTTTTTACATTCAGCCCTCTCGCTCAGTTGTCGCCCGGCAATATTTCCCGCAGCGCGAGTGGCAGGGGAAGCGGCTGAATGTAAACGTAGCATAACCTAATCGCAAAATTGAAAATTTCTACGTCAAATTCAGAATTGTATTGTTTAACATACTTTATTCATTTGTCCACAGCATCCCGTATACAAAGAGGATACAGATTCTTCAATTTTACAATGTTTGCATCCAATTATACAATCTGGCAGCCCTGCCAACTATCAGTACTGAATGAATATGACACAACGACCGTTCTGTACTCATCAGATCGTAAAAATTAATATAGATAAGCACTTTTGAATAGTCACAGTTATCATTCTTTTAATCTACCGCTCATTCGGAAAGCGTCATCATAAGAAGAACAAAACATTAAAGATAGGGCAGAATTAAACAAAATACTTTTAAATTGTGTAAATTGATTACATAGACAAAGTCGCAGGTCGCAGCTAGCAAACAACAGTATGCGATTGCTAACAGTAGGTATAAAGGGTAATTGTTTGTTTGAAAATAATTTCAAGTACATACACGGCTCATACAAAATTTTATTGCATGATAAAAGTTTAAGATTAAATGATAAGAGAATTTTATTTAATTAACGTTTTTATGTGACAGACAAGAAAACGAAGCTAACGACGTAAATGACGGAAAATGTATGACGCCAGAGACAACAATTTTTACGTAATTGGAATTGCACAAATTTAAGAATATCCTTGAATTCTTGGTCTAGGTCGCGAAATCCAAAAAAAGGCAAGCACAATAGATCTATGTACTGCTACAGGTATCTTTACAATCCTTGGTCTAGGCCGCGAATTCTAAAAAAAAGGCGAGCACAATAGATCTTTGTACTGCTACAGGTATCTTTACAATCCTTGGTCTAGGCCGCGAATTCTAAAAAAAAGGCGAGCACAATAGATCTTTGTACTGCTACAGGTATCTTTACAATTCTTGGTCTAGGCCGCGAATTCTAAAAAAAAGGCGGGCACAATAAATCTTTGTAGTGCTACAGGTACCTTTACAATTTTTGGTCTAGGCCGCGAATTCTAAAAAAAGGCGAGCACTATAGATCTATATAGCGCTACAGGTACCTTTACAAATCTTGGTCTAGGCCGCGAATTCTAAAAAAAGGCGAGCACAATAGATCTATGTAGTGCTACAGGTACCTTTACAATTCTTGGTCTTGGCCGCGAATTCTAAAAAAGGGTGAGCGCAATAGATCTATGTAGTGCTACAGGTACCTTTACAATTCTTGGTCTAGGCCGAGAATTCTAAAAAAGGGGGAGCGCAATAGATCTGTACAGGTCGTAGTGCTACAGATCTCTTTAGCGCAGAGTAATAGGCCAAAGCCTAATAAAAGAAATGGCAAAAGAGCAAAAACTGCCCACTTTCTCCTTATCCATATAAATTTACTGTCACATCTTATAGTACGCTACTTAGCGAAAGAAATACGTAAATACCGTAATTCATTCCGACAGCTTTCCTTGAAATTATATTATGGAATGCAAAACATGAGCAAGATACGGATGCAACTATATTAATTTTTTTTCGGACTATTCTATTGAATTTGATCGCAGTTGGCCTTTATACCTTCACCGTACGATAGGGGGCGAGTGCAGATGGCATTCCAAACCAAAGGAAGGATTTATAGAGCGGATGAAGGCCAACTCCCGCCTAACGAATACGACTTTAGTCTGAGAGCACTGCTTGGGGTTCGGACCTCGGCTCAGGCCGTCGTAATTTCGATCCCCGTTTGAATTGGATAGGAAATCGATCGAAAGTTCTCACAAAGGACAAGGCATGAGTATACCACGGTCAAGATTTTTATGTGCATATTGCTGTTCATGAATGAGACACTTGCCAGTTGCCACATTGTCAGCTAGTTCGTCAGTTTACTCGCCTTTTTAATTACATTTAAAAATAACTAAACTTATCTAAATGACAATAATAATCTTGTTACGTACATGAATACGTAATTGCACTGCAGTGTTATAAAGTTAAACTAGATTTTCTAGCTATTCACACATCTTACTAATATAAACGCGAAAGTTTGTGAGTATGGATGGATATTTGTTACTCTTTCACGCAAAAACTACTGAACGGATTTTGATGAAACTTCACAGTAATATACCTTATATATCAGAATAACACATAGGCTATAATTTGAAAATATATTATGTAAATTGGGCGAAATAAACGTTAAATATCGAGTAGTAAATTACGACATTCGTAAAAGGAATCTGAAAAGTTTTGGAATTTAGGCAATAAAAAAAATAGAGAAGGAAAAAAAAAAGAGTTGTAAATTGAGAATATTTATATTTGGATAATAAATTGCGACATTTAGAAACGGCGGATGAAATACAGCAAGGGAGTTTAGAGAAGAAAAAAAAAAGAGCTTCGTCATTTGGGAATATTTATATTTGGAAAATAAATTACGACATTTGGAAAGGGCGGATGAAAAAATGAAAAGGAGTTTAGAGAAAAAAAAGAGATTTGTCAATTGGGAATATTTATATCGAAATATATATAACTCAAAGGTGACTGACGTAGTGATCTATCAACGCACAGCCCAAACCACTGGACGGATCGTGCTGAAATTTGGCATGCAGGTAGATGTTATGACGTAGGCATCCGCTAAGAACGGATTTTGATTAATTCCACCCCCAAGGCGATAAAATAGGGGATGAAAATTTATATGAAACTTTGTCAATTTTAAACCGATCGGGCTGAGACTTTGCATGCATAAATCTACTATAACATAGGCATCCCCTAAGAAAGGATTTTGATAAATTCCACCCCTAAGGGGATAAGTTAACGCGATCGAAGCCGCGGGCAAAAGCTAGTTTGGATAATAAATTGCGACATTTAGAAAGGTCGGATGAAATAATGAAAGGAAATTATTTTGCGCGAATAAAAGGAAACGTCGATACGAGCGACCCTACACGGACGTCCGTCGACATCCGTAATTTAGCGTTTTATTATCTCAGGAGTGAGGCCTGTCTCCCTGATGCAATTCCAATTTAATGAAATCGTCATCATTGTGATTAATTGCTTTAATTCTTATTTTTTTAATTTTATTCTTAATTTAAAATTCTTAATGGCAATAGAATAGAGTTATATAATATCTTTCTAATATTATAAACGCGTTAGTTTGCGAGTATGGATGATTGTTTCTTACTCTTTCACGTAAAAATACTGATTGGATTTTGATGACATAGTAATATAGTTTATACATCATAATAATATACATTTAAAAAAAATGTGTTCTGCACTCTTTCTCTATCTATACGGATTACGGAAACGGTTATTTCAATATTACAAACAGACACTCCAATTTTATTTATATGTATAGATGTATAGATTGTGCGTGCTGAGAATGCAAATAAAATAATGATCCATCTATCAAAATTCAAAATATCTTTACCATGTAGGACTATTACAGACTCTTACTTTCAAAAAAGTAAAAATTAAATAAAGTTGCTATTTAATGGCCATAAAAATATATAATAAAATCCCCCGTCACTTTAAAGAATTGACCATAAATTCTTTTAAATACCAAATTTCGAAATTGGTTAATTGACAATTGTTTTATACCATAAATGAATTTTTCGCTAAAAGCTAGGAGTTATATGTAGAATTATTAGATAATAAAATTAATAGTATTGTTTGATATATTTGTATAATATTGATTGACACCTAACTAAAATAAATGTCACGTATCTATCTATATTTGACATATAATACAATTTTTAAACGTTAATTCATTAATTCTACTGTATAATTTGTATATTACTAAAATGTTTGCATGCCAAAACAATGGCGTTCAACATTCTTTTAACCATTCTTGTAATATTTATACCATATTTCATGTAAATAAATACATTTCATTTCAAATCTACCGTCAGTTTGGAACAGGGATGTTAGGAAGCTCCGTAACGGTAACCGAAACTATCGGATATCCGATATAAAAAATATTCGTAACCGTAACCGAATCCGAAATAAAAGTTTCGGATAGTATCGGATAGGGACGGAGCCTAATTGAGATATATTTTGTAACCATTTTATTAGCTATTTATATTTTACTTTTGAAATTCTTTAAAAAAATATTAACCGTAACCGAAATTATCCGAAACTAACGGATAATCCGAAATAATTTCATATCCACATCCATATCCGTATCCGGTATAATAATCATTCCTATATCCGAAACCTATCCGTATCCGATATTTCATATCCATAACATCGCTGGTTCGGAATTATTTCAAGATGATTCTCATCTTGAAATAATTCCGAAGAACTGACAAGAAAGTCAGCTCGTATTCTTTTCAAATATATGTGTATATGTTTACAATAATACAGATTCATTTTTAAATTCAAAATTTGAGAGAATAGAGTGACCACCAGCATATGCTATTGCAAAAGCAAAAGGTCTAATCAGTGTTCGTAACCTGAACAGTCCCCACAAGCAACACTCGTTCACGAGTATGGCGGATGAGCCAGCCATCATTGCACTCAACCATATTAGAGGGAGCACAGTGTAGAGTGACCACCAGCATATGCTATTGCAAAAGCAGAGTTAATCTATCTTAGAACTCACCTGAAAGAACATCCACGTGGGATATTCTCCAAGTTTGACTGCTATGCACGCGCCAAGAGCTATAAAAACAGTGGATATGCTATCACAGCCGTGGTCGAACAACTCGCCCAATGGTGACTGGCTGCCGGTCCGACGCGCCTGCTTGCCGTCTATGGCATCCAGACTCTGGTAGATGAAGACTCCTAGTGCGCACAAGGCGAATGACCATCTCGGCGGCTCTTGTTGTGCGTCTGGGCTGTACCTGCAAAATGTATGGGTGTTTTTTTTTAAATTCATTCATACATTGAGATCCTTGGAGATCTGGAGTCATACTGCCTTAATTCTAAGTTTGATTAGAAAGGTACGCAGGAAGTATTTTTGAAAATGATTGTTTGTTCTGGTTGTTTTCTCAGTGGTCTAGTGGTTTAGCACTCCGCCTTACTTCCGATGGTCGCAGGTTCGATATTTCGACCGGTACAAACATTTATATACATAAGTATGATTGTTTTTACTGGTCTGGGTGTTCTCTCGGTAATCTAGTTGTTGCACACCAAACATTTTCATTAGACAATGTAAATACAGTGGCTTTAAAAAAAAAAAAGAAATCGATTTGAGTTTCTTGCCAGTTTCTCTCAATTTCTCAATTGAATCTGTACACTGAACTGGGTGATAGAAAAAAAATATTATTAAAAAAACTTGATGTTCATAAACAGCTAAATAAGAAATACTTAAATGGAGATAAATTAAATTAAATTTCTAAAATAAAGGTAACCTACGTTAATCTTTATAACATTAGTTATCTGCAAGTGAAAGTACCGTTAAAATTGGTGCAACCATTTCAGAGATTAGCAGGAACGAACAGACAGACATAATTTTTTAAATTATGCCTTTGATATAATTACTGTATATACATATATGGGTTTAGTGAAACGCTTGTAATTTGAAATTACAAGCAGATGCTTCAATTTTATTTAGTTGTACAAATTGTTGTATTCAAAACAAATTGTGCCTACACTTGTAATATTTCTGTCGACACTTGAGACCCTTCCACTAGTTTACGTCTCCACTAACAGATTTAAGTTCAATGTCACATCATTAAATAAACTTACTAATGAACAATAAACAATATATTATTGACGACCTCGGTGGTCTAGCGGTCTAGCACGCTTTACGTCCGATGGTCGCGGGTTCGATTCCTCGCACGGCACAAACATTTGTATTCATGAGTATGATTGTTTGTATCGGTCTGGGTATTTTCTATGTATAATATGTATGTATTTACGAAAAAAAAATTATCTATGTATTTGTATCAGTTGTCTAGTACCCATAACACAAGCTTTGGCTAGCTTAACTTGGGTCTAGATGGCGCTGTGTGAATTGTTTTGAGATTATTATTTTTTTTTTTTTCTCACTTTTGCTGGTCTTCTCCACACTTGTGTGCGCTTGTATGTATGTGTGAGTGTGTATGTAAGTATTATTATTATTATTATGTAGCAACACCACGTCATATCACATATAACACTACAGTGGTGAGGTGATGAACACCATGCGACATAATAATATATTATATTATTAAACAAAAGCATTTTGCCTAAAACTAGTACAAAGTGTAGTATTACACTAATCTCTTCCTGATAATTCTTTCTATTATTTATTATAAGTGTTATTAATTTCATATAATCCCCTTGTTTCCTTTAATCCATAAACACCAATACAACTAATGTCGATATAATTAATCCATATTTATTTAAAAGAGCAACACATAAGTTTCTTTCTCATTCTTCTTGTGATGAGTCTGCATTCCGAATGAGCGGTAGAATAAAAAAACTTGACTATTCAAAAGTGCTTATATTAAGTTTATTAGAATAAAGATTATTTCTATTTCTACTTCAACACAAAGCTATAACCAACATTTTCTATTATTCTTATCCTTACTTAATATTATAATTGCGAAAGTAACTCTGTCTGTCTGTCTGTCTCACTTTCACGTCCAAACTACTGAACCGATTTAAATGAAATTTGGTACACAGATAGTCTAGACCCTGAGAAAGGACATAGGCTACTTTTTAGTGCGAACAAAGGGTTGTAAGGGGTTAAAAGGGGGGATGAAATGTTGTATGCAAGAATCGTCATTTTTGAAGCTAGAAAATTGAAACTAATTTTTGAGGCTTTTGATTAAATACTAATAAATATGACATTCAAATTTGTAAAAATGTTATCCTTAAGGGGTAAGAAATTTAACCTAAATGGGATTCAAGTATGTATGGATAATCGTTAATTTTATTTGTCATTTTTGGGTTAGGTTATTGAATATTTTTTCTTTGTTTGGTCGAGGTCACTAGACCACACGGACGAAGTCGCGGGTACAGCTAGTGTATTATAAGTATTATGCATTTCATATAATCCCTTTGTTTCCTTTAATCCTTAAACACCAATACAATACAATGCTATAACCTAATAAGTGTTTATTGTCCTTTATTCATTAATCAGTTTCAGAAATCATTACAAGCAGTAATCAGTCATATTTGTTATCTATGTCTATATCATAAATGGATAAAAATAATACCAATTTGAACAAAGTGATTATTAAATTTGAAAATATCTAGTTAAAAATGCAAACAGAAAATCTTTGCATTTTCAATATAATAAATATAATTATAGATTAATAGTTATTTACACATGAAACTAGTCAATTTTTTTTATAAATTACTAGCTGTCCCGGCAAACTTTGTTTTGTCATATAAATTAATAATGCTATAAAAATAATAGTGGTTGGTGATAGAAGGGTGAAAATTTAGGGAGTATGTATTTTTTAATGACGTCGAAATCGCGCGTCGTCGCGTCTTAATCTGTCCAGCCATTTCAGAGATTAGCCGGAACAAACAGACAGACAGACAAAAATTTTAAAAAGTCGTTTTTGTGGTGTATGTATCGTATTTATATTCATATGCGTGTAGTAAAACACTATTATTTCAATATTACAAACAGACACTCCAATTTTTTTATATGTATAGATGATTTATTATAGAGAATGATAACCAATACTCTATTGCATTTATTGTTTAATTTTAGATCTCTATTGTAATGTTAGTCTGACCACAATCTCAAATAGTGCTTCCTTATCCATAAATAATATATGCTCCTTCAAGCCCATTTTAATAATTATTGTGTTAGGTAACATAAAGTTTCTTGAAACTATCTGACTTCCTCTGTGTTTCATTTCCTCACCTTTTGCAATATTTTTCATGCAGCTGCTTTCCTATTGGTCATAATGTAATGTTATATAGCTTAAACCCTTCCTCGACAAACGGATAGTCCAAATATATTTTTTTAATTCGAACCAGTAGTTCCTGAGATTAGTGCATTCAAACCAAAAACCTCTTCAGCTTTATAATGACTAGCTATTCCCCGCGGCTTCGATTGCGTTAATTTATCCCCTTAGGGGTGGAATTTATCAAAATCCTTCCTTAGGGGATGCCTACGTCATAGTAGCATGATGCAAGCAAAGTATCAGCCTGATAGGTTTAAAATTGACTAAGTATATGTTTCAAACGGTTCACCAAGCCTTTAGCAGATTTGCTGTGGAAATCTGTTGACGGGAGACAACTGTACCGCCAGTGAGGAAACTGTCTCAATTTGTTTTCCAAGTCAATTCACACAATGCCATCTAGTGAAACTGAAAATCAGCACTGGAAACTATGTTCCCAGCAGTATGCTGAGTTGTGGTCCACATTGACTCTGTTTTTTTAAAATGTGTAAATTATTCTTGTAGTCTTATGTTATTACTGTATAAAACGAGTTAATAAATTATATTCTATTCTAGTTCAAAGCTAAGCTGAGCTTGTGTTATGGGATGTAATACATGGATTAATTTTTTTGTAAATAAATATATATAATACATATAAAACACCCAGACCAATACAAACAATCAGACTCATGAATACATATATTTATACTGTGCGAGGAATCGAACCCGCAACCATCGGATAGTAAAGCGGTATACTTAACCACTATACCACCGACCACTATCATATTTTACTTTACTGTATTTTTTCTTAGTGAAAAACATATTAAATTTTAAATATTAAAATAGTAAATTTAATTGAATAAAGATTATTTTTTTGTACCTCTATTTGTGAATAACTGGTTAATACATAAGTACAGCAATATCATTAAGTATTGTATTAAATTTTATAAAGAGGAGGATACCAAGACACTCATATGATAGGGAAACATAGTTGAGAATCCTGTCTGTCCGTCATCCCGTCCCATAAAATGTCAAAATTTTATTGTTATTTATAAAAAAAAAAGAGGAAAATCTTATTATATAATATAAAAAAATAAATAAACTCAATATATAAATGGTACTATGATAACAGTAAGTACAGTATGAATAACTGTATCCAGTTACCAGACAGTACAATCTTTATGTAAGTATCTAATCGAAAACGAGTGGCGCGACATTACGGCTGGCCAATCATAAAACACGACACTAGTGTGAATATTCAACTATGTAAACAACGCACAACGACTAGTTATAATAACTGAATAATCACTTAACTTACTTCTACAGACATAAAAAATTACGCCTCGAGAGAAAGTCTTGAATTCGAATCAAAAACGAAAGTCGTTCCGCGCGTTAGCTAAATGTGACACTAATTTTTATTGTAACCTTCAAAGTACTTACCAAACTAAAATTAGTGTGGTGATTATATTAACTATTAAACCTAGGATAGTGATGAGATTCGGTGCCAGCCAAAGCGGTGTCTTTGAGACAAGCCAGCACCACCACGGCTGAAGTAGAGCATCCAGAATACTGTCACTTGTACACGAATACTTGTGTTCACTCAGTCTTTTTAACTGTGCAGCATTGAGAATTTTCTTTTCCCTAAAGAACTGCATTTTGATTTCACTGTCACGACATCAATATTAAAATTCCACTATACATATAATATTAAATCACTTCGCAAATTATTAATTATCAACTACATGAATCAGTAGACTCATAACATTTCCAACACCATGCGGACTGTAGACTAAATTATTGTTTTTTTTCTGCGAAACACGACTTACTGACATTGACAGCCAAATACGTCAATCATAGCCACATAGCCGCCTATATTGACATTATACGTCAGTTGACAGATTGACGTCTTAAAATAAACATAGACAGTGATATTTAATTTCTGTGGCGTTTTTTACGATCTTGGCGTCTAGGATCCTTATTTAATTATGAATTTATTTAATATACATGCGTAACAATTTTATTTATACACTGTACCATTTTTCTACTGTTTCATTATAACTGTACCGCTATTACTTTTCCATTAAAGAAAATAGTACAACGTAAATGTATACGGAAGCTGTGAAACGGGAGTAAAACTTGTAATTTATATATGTTTATTCTTTTTACTATTGTACTATTCCAGAGTGCTTAAATAATGTTTATTTCTATATTATTTCAATAGATAGAAATATTTGTCTACCTACTTCAGTACAGTGATACCATGTTAGATTTTAAATGAGGCCAATCTGAGTCTACTAGATTTTAATGTCTTAGTTATTGTTTTAGAAATTAAAGAGATTTAATTTGTATGGAAATGGAAATAAATGATTGCTATATACAGGCTATATATCTTTATTGATGTATTATAATTACTAATACGGTTGAAGGAAGGAGGGAATTGTTATCAATGGGAACTAATGGTTGCATTACTAGTTAATTATATATCACTCACTCCCTGTGGCCCTAATGCCACCATCGTGATTATTTTCTGATGAATTTGTTAAGGTAGAAGGTAGATTTTAATAGACAAACCGACTTACTTTTTGTCTTTTATCTATTACTTACCTTATCATATCATCCTCCACTGGTGCTCAGCTGGAGTATTTATATCGTTAATGCAGGCGGGTTCACCATTCCAAGTTCATCCATACAAAACATAGTCTATTGATAAGTGGCAACACCAAGGAAACATAATTTTGAGGATAACAGTGACATTTCATGTTTACAACAAGCTTTATTTCAACAATACATAATTACATTTTTGTTACAATCATAATACTTTTGATTTAATACAATAGTTTAGCAAAAGTTGATCAAAATGACAGATATCGTATTATTTAATACAAACATATTTTATTGTACTCTCTCTCTGTACCTATAAATTCTACTTACGTATCTACATATTCATAATTATATCTCCACTGAACGTTACAATAAAGTTCAAATTTCAATACACATGTAGCCATTGGAATTATGGTTATCTGTAAAATTAGTACAAAACGTTCGTTCTACGTAACAGATTAAAAAGTCGATAGATTTGCGCGACACCTCACATAATAGAAAAAATGAGTCTGCTATTTTCTTTCGTTTTTTGGGACAATTTTAAAATTTTGTTTCGACAAGAACCATTCTTGATATTTAAGAAATATGTTTAAAAAATGCCTAAATGAGTTCAACCATTCTCGAGTATTATGCTTACCTTATACTTATATAAGTATGTAATTTATTATTTATATTTTAGATTTTATTAATAGTTGTCAGCCAACATTAGAGTTACCTTATATTATAGGCAATCTGTTTATTAGCCAAATGGCGTTTTAGGTATGATTGCCGTAGTGGCATATTTCATTTCAGGCAATTTGCTTTTTAATCAATTAGGAATTATACTAGCATGTAACATTTTAGGCACTGCGCCCATAACCTGTTAATAGCAGTTTAAGAAGATAACATCGGTAGATTGGCAACTCGTAATTCTTTTGTATACATAATTTTTATGTTATGTATACAAAAATGTATTTGCCTGAAGGACTTGTATCCATGGTCAAAAATAAAGCATTATTAAAAAAAATCGTTCACAACAATTTTAACACACCGACATTCTGCAGATTTGTTTGGAAGTGTCCCGCATAAAGTTTATAGACTATATATATTTCAACGTGCTCTATTCTTTGTATTTTTTGAGTATTCATTCATATTTTATATAAACAATATAAGCCCTGACCAGAATGCTAAAATAGCGGTTCAATAATACTTATAACTTATGGTTGTGTTCAAAATACCAAAGTTTGAATTTGGAATAAAAGTGGTAATAATAAATATGCATAATTAAAAAAATAATAATCAGTTCTTGTCACATCTTAATTACGTAATGTTCAACGACATATGAAAAAAAAATTACATAATTATTGATTTATTTATGGAATTATGTGGTGTCAACTTGTGATTCATTACGGAAAAATCATTGACACTAAATCGTAATGTTGCAAGTAAAATAAATTATTACTAAAATAGAAGTTTTTATTACATTTCGTCGTTCAAGTTTATTATTTATTAATGTTGCAAGTAATATAAATTACTGCTAAAATAGCAGTTTTTATTAGAGTTTCTGGTCAGGCTTTTTATATTTATAATGAACGACACTAATGGTAATAATTTAATTAATTACAATATAAGTAATTATAGAATAGCTACCAAACAGTATGCAATACAACTGTGTAGTTCTATTACATGTGGCATTTTTTTTATTAATTGTATGCACTTAATTTAAATTACTGCTACCTAGGTTTGGCCTGATTTTTCCTGGCTTCAATGCGTTTCTGTAAAGTAGTCAATAACGCTCCAAGGACGTTATGTCCGGGCAGTCGTTTTCCAAATAATAATCTTTTTACTGAGTCGTCGTAAGTGAGCAGAGCTACCATATTTTGCAGGAGGAATCCTTGACAATACTCTAGAAGTTGGGTTGCACCGTAGACCTGGAAAAATTTTAAACCTTTAAATCTATAGTCAAGTAAATTAAAAATTCTTAGTTTATGTGAATACCAGCTATATCTCGCGGCACGCTTGGGGGAAAGGTGATTGTTAGTAATATGGATTGACGACCCCAATGCTGGCAATGTCAGGTTGACCTCCAGGCGGTGCCCTCTAGAAACCATCCTGATAATTTCCTGGTTAATTTGTCACGAAGTGCTAACTGACCTGCCCTCATATTCATGCTCTACTGGTGCCCAGCCTATGCTAAAGGTTTACGCTGGCTGGAATCATTCCATTATCATCCACTAAAAATTACAGCCATTTTTTTTATGGACTACTCTAATAGTGTTAGTCGCTGCTGGCCTTTACAGTTTCACTGGATGATAGGGGGCGGGTTCCGCGTGTTTGAAGTGTCATCACTTCAAACACGGAGCTTCAAACAAGGACTTATGGAGCAGCTGAAGGCCAATTCTCGCCTGACAGATATGACTTTAGTCTGAGGTACTTGGTTTGGAAACTCGGCCTTGAAACTCTGATGGCGAATTGTCCTGAGATATAATTATTATTCTAATCACATAAAAAAAGAGTGTTTAATTTACCTTCGCATGAATATAAACTGAAACAAGATTGTGCAGGTCAATAGTCTTCGCAGCGCGAGCCTCGCAGAACCGTTGCAGTGGCAACAGCTGGAAGAAGGAGGCGGCTGCCAGCACCTCCAGCACATCATTCTCAGGTATATCCAGGCCGGAGCATCCGCCGGAGTACAGGTACTTCATGACTTGCTGTTGGAATTATATTATTTAATGACAGGTACAGATGAGGTAGTGTAAGTGAACAAGTTCATAAATCTAATAATTTGATTTAAAACAATACAATACAATATAATGAAGGTCCCGGTGGTCTGGTGGTTTAGTATACCATTTTACTTTCTATGGTGGTAAGTTCGATTCCTCGCATGGTACAATCATTTGCATTCTTGGGTGTTTCCTGTATATACTATGTGTGTATTGAAAAAAATGTATCTATGTATTTATATCAGTTGTCTAGGACCCATAACATAAGCTCTGTTTAGCTTGGGACTAGATGGCACTGTTTGAATTGTTCAGGATTATTTTTATTATTTCTCTTCTTTCATTTGGTCTAAAAGAAGATATAGAAGAAGATACACACTCCACATGGGCATCAGCCAAGTGTAAGAGATATTACGGAAATTATTATTATTTGGCGGGTGAGTCCGCGCTATTATCGAGTGATTTATGATATCACCTGGTATAACTGGGGGGTTATTATTTATATTAATATCTTAGGGTTTAAATTATGACAGTTCACTACACGGCGACACGGGACACGGCGCTATCAGCATTAGAAATTATGTAGAATTTACCTCGAATATGTGGTATCTGATATCATTGATCTGCACAAGAGGTGGCGTGGCTCCAGTGGGCGACATCGCGTCTGCAGCCGGACGTGCTGGCGCCAGCATCGCACGCAGTCGTGGCGACTCTGACACTAGCACTATCTTGTGTCCATAGAACAGTCTCCCCTCAACCCTGCATAAAAAAACTCATTTAAGACACAGATCTCCTGTCCACTTTAAATAGGGATCAAAATTACGATGGTCCACGCCGAGGTTTCTACCCCTAGCGCTGCTCTCAAACTAAAGTCTTGTCCTTTAGGCAGTATAGTTATATACACACATTTAAGACACGAATCTCCTGTCTAATTCAAATAGGGATCGATATTACGACGGTCCTCGCCGAGGTTTCTATCCCTAGCGGTGTCCTTAGACTAAAGTCGTATTCGTTAGGCAGGAGTTGGCCTTCAGCCGCTTCATAAGTCCTTCCGGGTTTGGAGTGCCATCTCCGCCCGCTATCATTCGGTGAAGTTGAAAAGGTCAGCTGCGGCCAACAGCATCAGAATAGTTAAAAAAACCTGAGAAACTCGAGGAAGAAGGGGAAGGAGATCGTTAGTAACGTGGGCCATGTCAGGTTGATCTCCACACGTTTCCCTTGGAAAACATCGTGATAAATTCCTGGTGAATTTGCCACAATGGGCTAACTGACTTACCTCATTATTATTTCATTATCTTCCACTGGTACTCCGTCAACGTAAGCCATTATGCACCAATCAATTATGATCCATTCAATAAACCACTTACAAGGGCGGCGGGTCGGCGGTATGACGTGTGGTGGGTCTGTACCTGAAGGTGACGTCAGCGAGCGAGGGGTTGTTGACGTAGGAGGGGTCGACCCGCGAGGGTGCGGGCGGCGGGTCGGCGGTATGACGTGTGGTGGGTCTGTACCTGAAGGTGACGTCAGCGAGCGAGGGGTTGTTGACGTAGGAGGGGTCGACCCGCGAGGGTGCGGGCGGCGGGTCGGCGGCCGGGCCCGCCACCGCCGGCACCGGCTCCCAGCCGTAGCACGCGCACAGGATGTCCGCCAGCAGCAGCACCGTGCCCTCCTTCTGTCCACATTACACCACGCCGCTTATTAATATAATAATAACCCTGAACAATTCGCACAGCGCCATCTAGTCCCAAGCTACATCTGTTACAAATATTTATATACATAAAATTATTTTTTTTGTATATACATACATACAAAACATTACGACAAATACAAACAATGGTACGTTTACATGCTCATTCTTTCCTGCGTGAAAGCCTATTTGCGCGTGAAAGAAAGAATGAGGCTGCTAATTAGGAAATAAATTCAGAATCTAATCATATTTTTTATTAATTTGTACGTCAAATTTATTCATTTATTTATTTATTTATTAGCATACAAAACAGATTACAATCAAGACAATAATATAAATAGGAGCGTGTAGTTCGGTACAAAACTGGATTGTAATCCAACACTATGTATGCCTAAAAGCTAAATTATATAGACACATTTAATATACGCTAGATAAGGTTATATAATAAAAAGTAAATTAAATAGAAAATAATATATAACTACAAATTATATAGGTAAATAATTTCTAATATACATATAGGTTTACAGTATGATCATAAGAGCATTTCCAACAGTCACCATTGACTTACCTTGCTGTACCGTAAAATGTTGAACAGCAGCGGAAGACATTCGTAAATGAATTGTTTACTATAGTGGCTGTCATCAGATGGACATACCTGAAATAAGTAACCATTAGTTAAGTATTTTTAAGGACGAATCACACGCTTCCGCAATTGAGTAGTGCGACATAGGTCGCCCTAACAACGAGATGGGGCTTACCCTACTAGGCTCAATCACACGCTTCCACAAATGACTAGGACGAAATAGGTCGCCCTAACAATGAGGTGGGGCTTACCCTATTGGTGGCCCTAACAACGACATAGGGCCTACCCTACTAGGCACGATCACACGCTTCCACAATTGAGTAGAAATAGGCCTTAACAAGGTAGAAGTAGGCCTTCTTATCCACATATATTAGTTGCTACTTGCAGCTATATGTTTTTCCAATAAAAAAATATTTACATATAATTAAATGGTAATCAAGCTAATGACGAGCTATCTGATTGAACGTAACTATGGTCATACAAGAAACACCAATGCCAGTTTTTGTGTAACTCCAAGAACAATTTCTAAGGTACTGTGTCTTGTAAATCTGATTGACTAATATAATAAAAGAAATAAAGTAAACCTGCAGAAAATCTTGTAGTAATTGATCAATAACGTGATCCAGCGAGGCGTCAGCTGCGGCCGCTAGCGACAGCGTCCACGCGTGCAGAGACCACGGCACGCCCAGCGCTCGCAACTCCAATGTCATGTCTGAAGTAACAAATGTTATTTTACTAATTATATCTCACAATTAGCTGGAACTAAATAAGAAATGAGGAAGTTTTCTTATACTACATGATAGTACGGTGGTGGCAAACAAGCATACGGTCCATCTGATAGTAAATGGTTACCATAGGCTATGAACGCCTGACATCAGGGGTGTTAAGTCCGCGTTACCGACCCTTAAGAAACCTTAATATAGAAGGGCTAAAGACAAGAGACAGAACATAAATTTTAATAAGAATACACGGGGGGAAATTTTTGGACACTTGATACTACACGAACTTATGAATAATATTATCAAAGGAAAAGTAGAAGGACAGAGAGGAAGGGGAGGATCAAAACACAGTTATATCAAGCAGATTAAGGAAAAAGTTGGAAGTCGTATCAACAATTATAGAGATTGGTAAGGGTTAAAGAAAAGAGATAGATCATAAAAATTAATGCGGGGGGAAATGTTGGGAGTGTCCCAATATTTTCCCCAACGTATTAGATACGACACGACGAATAATATTATCAAAAGAAAAATAGAAGAGAAGAAAATAGAATAGAAAGAAAGGAAGCGGAAGACCAATCTCAGCTATATCAAACAGATTCAAAAGTTGGAGTCGTGTCGTATCTAAAACTAAAGAGGATAGGATAAAGATAGGATAGGATAAAGAGGATAGATAGGAAAATGGCAAGAGCTCCAATGAGCGCGGCTCTTAAATTATGAATGAATAAACGAATTCCACAGTGTTGCCATACTGAATTTTGATGAAAGTAATGCTCGCCAGCGACAGGGAATTCATCCCACGCTGGATCCTAAGTGGTTTAAGACAGTGTGGTTTCAAAGGAGCTTCCTTCCGCGTACTCTTAGATCGTGAATAAACTACCTGCTGAGTGTTTCTTGAGAGATTACAACATGTGGTTTTTAAATATAAGAAAGGTTTCTAAAGGGTCGGCAACGCGTGACTCCCCTGGTGTTTTAGGTGTTCATTCTTAGTAATATGGACTAATAACATTCCTAGCAATGTCTTATGTCACGGTTGTATATAGGTATATATTGACCTTCACATGGTTCCCCCATCATCGTGATAAATTCATGGATTTACCACAATGGCTAACTGACCTAACCTGATCTTATCATCCTCCAGTGGTGCCCCGCCAGCGTAAACCGATAGCGCAGGCGGGTGCACCATACCATTGTCATCCACATGAAAAAAAACTGTTACCGAGGTGGTCGGTCTCCGCGGAGCAGTACATGGCGTCCTGCAGCGCGCGCTGCTGCAGCTTGGAGAGCGCGGGCGGGCGCGGGGAGGGCGCGGGCGCGGGGGCGGGGGCGGCGCCCTCCGCCAGCACCTCCTCCAGGGAGAGCACCGCACGCGCCCCCCCGCCCCGCACCGCCGCCCGCAGGCACGCGCGCCGCCCGTGCGTGCAGCACACCGCCACCGCACTGTCAATTACACACGTGAATAGCAATTAAAATTAACCAAAATTACCATAACCAGTTCACATAGAAAAACGTTCCGAGGTAAAGGTCCTTAAACAATACCTATTTTAAAATTTGTGACAGTCACCTGTAGCATCCGTACTGGGCAGCGGCCGAGTAGCACAAGGCATCGTTGAGCTGGGTCGAGAGGAACGGGTCTGCTCCGTGGGACAGCAACATCTGTACTAGCTCCAGATTACCAACTCCACATGCCACCTGTGGGAAAAAATAGTCATTTCAATAGTTGACAAGTACATTCACGCGCGATCAGAAGCGAGCGCTGTTAATGCGGGAAAGCCAGCGCAAGCAAACTTGAATTCATGCGCGTGACTCATCTCATACTTTTTTTTTAATTGTATTTCATATTTCACAGACTTTATTATCTCTATTGAAGGACGCGGGAACGCACTAGTTGGCAGCGCACGCGCTTTCTTTCTCATACTCTTTACTTGCACACTTTTTCCTGCGTGAAAGAGCCTACGTCGTCTCCCCAGGTGGGCACGGCCGGCTCTTTACATCCTACAGCCCCCTACACCATCGCGGAGTGAGTACGTCACTTGCAAAGGCGTGGTCGTCTCCTAAAGCGGGCACGGCTGTCCAATACACTCCCGCGGAGTAAGTATATCACCTGCAGAAGTATATCGCGTGCACACGTCGTCTCCCCTGGCGGGCGCGCCGCCCACCCGCGCTCCAGCCGCCGTGCACACTCCAGCTCCCCGCCTCCACCCCCGCCCCCGCACTGAGTACGTCACCTGCAGCGGTGTGAGCGTGCACACGTCGTCTCCCCTGGCGGGCGCGCCGCCCACCCGCGCTCCAGCCGCCGTGCACACTCCAGCTCCCCGCCTCCACCCCCGCCCCCGCACTGAGTACGTCACCTGCAGCGGTGTGAGCGTGCACACGTCGTCTCCCCTGGCGGGCGCGCCGCCCACCCGCGCTCCAGCCGCCGTGCACACTCCAGCTCCCCGCCTCCACCCCCGCCCCCCGCACTGAGTACGTCACCTGCAGCGGTGTGAGCGTGCACACGTCGTCTCCCCTGGCGGGCGCGCCGGCCGCCAGTAGACGTCATGCACACTCCAGCGCCCCGCCTCCACCCCCGCCCCCGCACTGAGTACGTCACCTGCAGCGGTGTGAGCGTGCACACGTCGTCTCCCCTGGCGGGCGCGCCGTCCACCCGCGCACCAGCCGCCGTGCACACTCCAGCTCCCCGCCTCCACCCCCGCCCCCGCACTGAGTACGTCACCTGCAGCGGTGTGAGCGTGCACACGTCGTCTCCCCTGGCGGGCGCGCCGTCCACCCGCGCACCAGCCGCCGTGCACACTCCAGCTCCCCGCCTCCACCCCCGCCCCCGCACTGAGTACGTCACCTGCAGCGGTGTGAGCGTGCACACGTCGTCTCCCCTGGCGGGCGCGCCGTCCACCCGCGCACCAGCCGCCGTGCACACTCCAGCTCCCCGCCTCCACCCCCGCCCCCGCACTGAGTACGTCACCTGCAGCGGTGTGAGCGTGCACACGTCGTCTCCCCTGGCGGGCGCGCCGTCCACCCGCGCACCAGCCGCTAGCAGGCGCCGCGCACACTCTAGGGCGCTGCCCCCGCCCCCGCCGCCCCCTCCACCCGCTCCGCCGCCACCACTGCACGCGTAAACCAGCGCCGTCCAGCCTGGTAACAAATAACCTCATAGTCATTGCTTTCAATGGTCACTTATTCATTCATATGGTACTTCAGTCGTCCTCTGTTTCTTGTTTCACGTCACAAGTTTCTTGCTTCTTCTTCTTGGGTTGAGTCTACATTCCGAATCAGTGGTAGAATAAAAATTATGACTATTCAAAAGTGCTTGTATTGAGTATATTTGAATAAAGATTATTTCTATTTCTGTCACCACTTATCTCATTGTACATTTAATCTCGTACTTAGATCATGAAATCTATACATATAAATAAAATTGGAGTGTCTGTTTGTAATATTGAAATAACCGTTTTTTTCTACATGCATATGAGTATAAATACGGTATATACACCAAAATAACATTTTAAAAAATGTTTGTCTGTCTGTCTGTTTGTTCCGGCTAATCTCTGAAAAGGCTGGACCGATTTTGGCGGTACTTTTTTTGGCAGGTAACTGATGTAATAAGGAGTAACTTAGGCTACTTTTATTTTAGAACAATTCTTTTGTTTTAGAAAAATAAAGTTAAATTCCACGCGGACGAAGTCGCGGGAACAGCTAGTCATAAATATATTTACCAGCGGTAGGAGCAGTGTACACGGGGGCATTCTGCTGTGTGTTTGGCGATCTTGGGGATAGGGGCATAGCGCAGTGGGCCGCACAGGTTCCGCCTGTCTCTATGTTCGGATCTGCGCCTGCCTCCAACAGCATCTGCACACAGTAAATCATATTGGAAGGCCGAGTCGCATCACGAACATGCACCTGATTACAATGACTACAAAGATCGTCATTATACCCAGTAATTATTAACCGGGAAAAAATGTAGGGATTAATACATTCAAAAGCATCCAATAGTACTCCAATAGATTAATGCTAATGAGTAAAAACAATATACTGCAAATTGAATAAACACATGGCAAATTTATGCCTGTTCCCAACAAGACTGCAGATTTTGCCAAGCTGCTTATTTTGTTAAAATCTTTCTACAATTTTAGAAAAGTTTTAAATTCTTTCTATAACATAACTGTCTTATGGATTTAGCAATATAGCTAATTCTCTACTCAGCATAAGATACAAGATAATAATTCGATAAATCACTAAGCAGTGCAAGAGGGATATACAACTCACCAGAATAAATCAAGTTAATTAAGGGAAGAATTATAGAGAAGAACGAAGATTTTTCAATTTTATTATTAACTTTGTTAGTAATCAATGTATCATATCATGTCATCAGCAACCCTTCCTTCTTCTCCCGCCCGGCAGCATTACGATGCGTCACCGTCGCCGTCAGCATTTTACACCGCTCCGCGTCCGTATATTACGCCCACACATACCATTTTCCCTTCAGTACATCAAATACTCACAAGCAAGCATCAGTCCACACTCAATCATCGTGTACTCAATAAATCAAGTTGGAAAGCAGCCCGGATTTATAACTTATACATCAGCATCCAGATTGTGTGGGTCACAGCAGACTCATACAAATGTTATAGTTAGGAGAAAAGTTCTTATGAAAGAAAATTTAAGAATTTTGCGCGAAACATCCCAAACGTTAAAAATTATATCAGTGCGATATTTAATATTCATATTTAAGTATGTCGGGTTAGCTTGCTTGTAAGCTATAAGAGAAATAAGACCAATTGAAAAAATTGTTCCATTAGCTTCAATTAAAACGTCACTTACTGCAACGATCTGGTCATCTCCTGCTAACGCAGCCTTCATCAAAGCTGTAAGTCCAGCAGCGTCAGTTGCGTCGATACCAGCCGGAGGTAGCAGTGGTCGTACTCCTCCCACCAGCTCAGCTCTACCGCTGAGTAATGCTCGCTGAGCCAGGCCCAAAGCAGCACGACTCAATTCGTCGGTGCTTCTAGCGCAGCGCGACCAGACTGGCTCTATAGGTTCTTCTAAGCTGTGGCAAGGGGGTAATCGGATTATTAGTGATGTGAACTGTGGCCTCTACTAGCAACAATATATATTGCTGGGGGTAAGATTGACTTTCACGCGGAAACCTGGAAACCAACACGATAAATTCCTGGTGAATTTGTCACGATGGGCAACTGACTTGCTCTCATCTTTATCTTATCATCCTCTACTGGTGCCCCGCCAGCGTAAACCGTTAGCGCAGACGGGTGCACCATTCCATTATCAAGCATTAAAAAAATACGAAGACTTGTAGAATATCAAACTACTTTTACATGTTTGTAAAAGTAGTTTGATATTCTACAAGTCTTCGTCAAATATGGTGTGCTAAGAGTCCAAAAATACTTCTTTGATAGATAATCCAGGGTTACCCCAATTTTGCAGTTTCATGATCACAGAACATGTTTGCCTATATTTTTAGATTTGACCAAAGAGAAAGAAATAAATACGGCTCTTGACTTTGAAATGCAAGATGACAGATGCGTAACATTAAAACCCAAACCAAACTTAGGTTATAAATACAATATTGACGTCACTCAAGTGCCGTTTGACGAAAGTTAGTAATTCGTTTTATGAAAATTGCGTAAGGTTTTACAACACACTCCCAGAGTCTGTAGTCAATTTGCCAGAAAAAAAATTCAAATGTGTTATAAAATATTTTCTTCGTAAAAAAGCTTATTATAAAATTGAAGAATTTATAAATGAAAATAATGTTTTTGTAGAAAATATCTAACTTAAAATTCATAGCGCTGACAATGTTATCTGATTGAACAGAGATTAAGTGCGTAGAGGTTTCCATGTTGATTGTCGCATGCCTAATCCTTGTTGTTAATGAAATATAAGCAAATCAATATTTATTTAAAAGAGCAACACACAAGTTTCTTGCTCATTCTTCTTGTGATGAGTCTGCATTCCGAATGAGCGGTAGAATAAAAAAACTTGACTATTCAAAAGTGCTTATATTAAGTTTATTTGAATAAAGATTATTTCTATTTCTATTTCTACTCTGCTTATACCACAATTATGACGACACGAATAACTTATATACAATACTTGTCAAATCAAATTGTGTAAAACTTCACTTACGTGATAGGTCTCGGTGGACAGTCAGCATGCGGAAGTAGCAGCCTTGCAGCTTGGAGTACATCATCAGCGTCGGGCAGAGCTGGTGGTGGGCGGAGACTGGCGTGTGCGCGCAGCACTCGAAGCCACTCAGCCAGCGGAGGGAGTGCACCAGCGCCACGTTCACCCCATAGTCCGGATGCACCACAGCTGCCGCCTGATGCACCGCTGTTGTGTTCCAACTGCAATAAAAAAAAATCCATCTAACTGAAAAGAAACTCAGCTGCTTTTTCTTGCAGCTCAATTCTTTTCAAATGAGTTTGTAAATGAAACTGCAAAAAAAATCCATCTAACTGAAAAGAAACTCAGCTGCTATTCTTTTCAAATGAGCTTTTAAATGAATACAAAAAAGCAGATTCATATTTAAATTTAATTAGGGAGAATCTAGTAACCTCTAGTAACCGCTATTGTTTTTTGTCAGAAGGTAACAATTTAATCATTAATCAAGCAAAAAGATACTCCCTATGAAAGAAGCTTATCGTCGACCTAGACGTTTTGCTTATTCAGAAAATAGGACTTCTCTTCTCTTCTATAAGTCATAACATGTTGGACAAAAGTGAACAACAATTTGCAAATTAAAGTCAAGTTTTGAGAACATTCATAGAAGAGCAGCAGAAAGCACTGTGCCCGCGGAGCACGCATATGTCACCAGCAGCATCCTTTCGTCCTCCTTCCTCTTCCATCTACAGAGCGCACATAACCTACCTGCGAGCAACTCATAAAGTATTAGAGCGCGCGCACGTCATCAGCACCCCCTCCTCCCTCTCTCTCATGCCCCCTCTTTCCCTCCCCCCATTCCCCTCTTCCCCACACACAGCACCTTCTCTTCTCTTCTCCTATAAGTCATAACATGTTGGACAAAAGTGAACAACAATTTGCAAATTAAAGTCAAGTTTTGAGAAGATTCATAGAAGAGCAGCAGAAAGCACTGTGCCCGCCGAGCACGCACATGTCACCAGCAGCATCCCTTCGCCCTCCTTCCTCTTCCATCTACAGATCGCACGTGACCCACCTGCGACCATCTCATCAAGTAGTAGAGCGCGCGCACGTCGAAGAAGTAGAGCGATCGCACGTCGTCAGCAGCACCTCCCTTCCGCCCCCCCATGCCGTCACCCTCCTTCGCACACAGCGCACGCGACCCACCTGCGAGCACCTCATGAAGTAGTAGAGCGCGCGCTCGGCGGCGGCCGCGAGCGGCGGCAGGCGCGGCTGCACGCGGCGCAGCACGGCGCGCAGCTCGCCCGCCGAGCCCGCGCACGTCGTCAGCAGCACCGACGCACACCCCGCAGAACCCCCTGACCCTCCTGAGCTTGTGTTCGACCCTGCCGACGTGCCGGACCCACCTGTAATTACCATTCCTAGTTTAGAATCTACAACACAAAGTACGAGAGGGAACCGCGTGGAGTCCCTCCACTCGGTTCCCTTTGGAAACCATCGTGATAAATTCTTGATGTTAGGCAGGTGACCATTCCATTATCATCCATAAAAAAAACTACGAGGGGAGAAGGGATTTCTTAGTAATATGGACTAATAACCCCATTGCTAGCAATGTACCATAGCTGGTTGACCTTCAAGTGGTCCCCCTGGAAACCATCGTGATGATTTCTTAGTGAATTTGGCACGATGGGCTGGTCCCTGACCTGACCTTATGCTCATCTCATTTTCCTCCACTGGTGCCCTGCCAGCGTAAACCAGGCGGGTGACCATTCCACTATCATCCATAAAAAAAACTACAAAGGAGAATGGAATTGTTAGCAATGTGGACTAATAACTAACTAACCCCAAACCACCAATGTAACTACTTAAGTAAGGCAGAGTATGTAATGATTTATTCAAATTTCTACCAACGCTCTGCCACCGCTCCTTAGAATTAGGTAATAAACCAGCGCGGATTTGCAAGAGTGTTATCCCAAGAGCTTACAGATAAAAAAGACAAATCATAACTTACCCGAACCATTGGTAGTGATCCCTGAGTCTTGACTGAGTCCAAGTTGCCTGTGCTCTGGTCTAGATACGCCTGATGATGATCCGGAGCCAAGAGAACTCATCGATTCCCACCGAGAAAGTGACAGTGCCCCTGTAAAACATGTAGATCTAATTCTTTTTTCATAACTTAATTTCTACCTATAATCTCAGGACAATTCACACAGCGCCATCTAGACCCAAGTTAAGCTAGATAAACCTTGTGTTCTATGTACTAGATTACTGATACAAATACATAGATTTCTTTTCGTAAATACATACAACTATACATAGAAAACACCCAAACCGATACAAACAATCGTGCTCATGAACACAAATGTTTGTGCCGTGTGAGGAATCGAACCCGCGACCATCGGAAATAAGGCGGTATGTTAAACCGCTAGACTAGAGGCAGCTGCTATGCTTTAGATCAAGGTTCCCAAACTTTTTTGTGTCGTATACCCCTTGCCATATTTTTCGGTTTTGGGTAGACCCCCCATTCTTACCTGGCATTGATTTTTTGTTAATTTCAAACTGTCGTAAAGTTTAGTGTTAAAAACATCAAGATGTCATCTGTCGTAGACCACTTGCAGTTTGTCATAGTCACGTCGTCAGAATCACTGCTTTAGAGATATCAGTGTTATTGTAAATAAAAGACTGTTCTTTTCTGTTTACCTGACGCTATCCTGCCGGCATTTAGATGGCTATAAGGCTGTAAAAGTCCCCAGAGGTCAGCACAATTAGCAACGGCGTGGTCCACAGCAGCAGGAGTAATGGGTCCATTACTTGCGCCACTGCTGGAGATCAGTGCTATCTCTTCTAGCAACGTCTCTATACCAGCACATAGATATATAGCTGCGTATCTGTGGATGAATTGAGTACGTCCATATGTACATAGTGTAACTTTAAAAAAGAAGAGAGAAGAAACAAGTTAAGTCTATTTATCTGGTATACTGCAAATTTCTACTATGATGGATAAAATAATCTATACATATAAATAAAATTGGAGTGTCTGTTTGTAATATTGAAATAAGCGTTTTTTACTACATGCATATGAGTATAACATTTTTTACATTTTTTGTGTCAGATACGCAAAAATTGACAAAAATGTTATTTTAGGTTTGTCTGTTTGTTCCGGCTAGTCTCTGAAATGGCTGGACCGATTTTAACGGAACTTTTATTGGCAGGTAGCTTAGCTACCTAATATAATAAGGATTAACTTAGCTAATGTAATAAGGATTAACTTAGGCTACTTTTATTTTAGAACAATAAAGTTAAATTCGACGCGGATGGCGCTGTGTGGATTAATCTCAGAATAATCCACACAGCGCCATTTAGACCCAAGTCAAGCCAGCTAAAGCTTGTGTTACGGGTACTAGACAACTGATACAAATACATAGATATTTTTTCATAAATACATGTTATACTAAGAAAACACCCAGATGGATACAAACAATCACTCATGAGTACAAATGTTTGTGCCGTGCGAGGAATCGAACCCGCTATCGGAAGTAAAGCGGTGTGCTAGATCAGTGAGGTCTAACGTTGGATAAAATGAGAAAAGTAACGTTGGATAAAATTACTTACTCGTGTACAAACGAAGCAACGCGTACATCCAGCATCCACCTCTGAAACCGGCCTGGGGCAAGGCTGGTCCTCGCTCTAGCGGCGGAACCGAGCCGCCTCGCTGCACTGCCTGAAGTTGCATACATAGTTGCAGCCCGTTGACAACCCTGGTAAATAAAATACATAAATATGTCTTTCTGATTAAAGTTTTCTCTTAAAAAATCACTGCATTATTAATTAACTTGTATAGAATATCCGACGATCTGGTCAAGACGGCTGGAAGGCATTGGATGCGAGCAGCCCAGGACCGATCGTCGTGGAGATCTTTGGGGGACGCCTATGTTCAGCAGTGGACGTCTTCCGGGCTGAGATGATGATGATGATGATAGAATCTTCTTAGTAGTTTTATTTAGTGCTGTACTGATGACCTGAACTGTACTAGATCTTAGACCCTTTAGGTAAATGAAACTCTAGGATAGTACTGAACTGTGTATATTCCGTAATAAGATATTTAGTGCAGTACTAATGATCTTAACCGTACTAGATCTTAGGTAAATGAAACCCAAGGATAGTACAGAACTGTCCTCTCTTTCTCTCTCTCTGATTACAAAAGGTACTATGTCATAAGACATAATGCAAAAAGATCTTGCCACAGCGATGTAGAAATTGTACATATAGACACAGCGACATCTAGTTAACATTTTGGAACTAATATGTATTATAACTAACTAACAATTAGATTAAAGAAGTTTGGTAGAACTTTAGTGACTATTATATTAAAGTACATAAATCCTCGTATTGATTCTAGTGTTTCCATCCGAATATATATAACGATGACATCTTATAAAGTGCTTATTCGGCCATAAAACTTATTAGCCTTAATCCTTTTGAAACTCAATCACCGACATCAGCTAGGCTAGTCAGTACCCTGCCTAGGAAGAGAAAGAAGCTGATGATATAATAATATATTACCTTTATGCAAGAGTCAGCTAACGGTGTGCTCAAAACAATTCTGAAGGCGCCAGCGATCTCATGTTTCGAACAAAAGCCGAAGTTTTGCGACAGTCGCTGGGCTTCCCGAGCTATTCGCACCAGTGCCCTGGAGTATTGTGAAGATAAAATTAAAAGATTATTGTTACATACAAAGTTACTGTTAGTAAATATACTGTTGGTTCACGGACATAATAGATGACAAGAAACTCAGCTCGTATTCTTTTCAAATAAATGTTGTACTTGTTTACAATACAGATTCATTAAATTCTTAGTAACTATGATAAAAAAGTTTTGGTTCTGCTCTACAGCACTTTTCGATAGGACATATGTAACAAGTCTTTGTTAAATGGTAACGACCAGAGATTCTTTTAGATGCAGTTTAACATCCAAATTATAAGTGCTAATACACATTACAGATTTAATATGATATTAACAATATTCTCATTAAAACTGTCTAACCAATATATTGAAATTGGGATATTGCGTCCTCGTTCAATCTTAGGCGCGTGCAAGTTCTGGTTCTGCTCTAAAGCACTTTTCGATAGGACATATGTAACAAGTCTTTGTTAAATGGTAACGACCAGAACTTCTTTTAGATGCAGTTTAACATACAAATTTCCAGTGCTAATACACATTTTACAGATCAGATCAGATCAGAAATTCTTCTAGATGCAGTTCAAGATTACCTGAGAATTGTTTGGTGAGTTACATATGAATTAATTAAGAAATACGACGAATTTAACGACCTCGGTGATCTAGTGGTCTAGCGCGCCGCTTTACGTCCGATGGTCGCACGGTTCATTCTCTAACTTTTAGGAAGCGACGGACTATTGCACATGTATCTAAGATAACAGCCTTTTGTAGTGGAATGTAGATTCGTTATATATTTTTTTTTTCCAAAAATTCTCATCTCCCCTCTTAAGGAGAGGAGATAGCAACATACCCCTGGCAGAAGCACAGTCGGCCGGCGTTCAGGGCCCCAGGGAGAGAAACCAGCGTACAATGCGGGCAGAATCTAATCTTAATCTTATTATTATTATATGAATTTATGTCATGTAACCTGTTTTTACATGGCAAATAAATAAATCTAAAAATCTAAAAAAAATCTATTAATATTGTTATTATTAAATACCTCTGTAGTAGATAGGCTAGTCGAGGCGGCGTGTCCGGAGCCATTCGATGTGCAATCTCTCTGCAGCGTCCCGCTTGAAGAGCACGGCTCACTTCGCTTGCCGTCCATGGTACGCGCCGCAATTCAACTAACCTACAACATAACACTACAATAATTCCTTAACCACGGTTTTTATTTCTTGAATAATAATTTGAAACATACTACTTGGTGTCAAGTTAATTTAACGAAAATTAAAATATACAAAAATTTATTTCATAAATTCATGTTTTATTTTTTTCAAATTCAAATTCAAAATATCTTTATTCATGCAGGTCTATTACAGACTCTTATGACATGTCAAATCTACCGTCAGTTCGGAATGATTTCGAGATAAGAACTGACAAGCAACTCAGCTTGTATTTTTTTCAAATAAATGTTGTACATGTTTACAATAATACAGATTCATTTTATATTCAAATTTGGGAGAATAGAGTGACCACCAGCATATGCTATTGCTAAAGCAAAAAGTCTAATCAGTGTTCGTAACCCGAACAGACCAGTCCCCACAACCAGCACCCGTTCACGAGTATGACGGATTGGTTATTACTTTATTGTATTTATTTATACATTAATTCTTATACCGATTTATAAATCGTTTTATTTTCTTTTGTTATCTGAATGAATGCATTCTTTGGTGGCTCCACTGAAAAGCGCTGTAGTATAAGTTACATCACATAGCACAATTTATTTGTACTCATGAGTATGATTGTTTGTATCTGTCTGGGTATTTTCTATATATATAATGTATGCATTTACAAAAAATATTGATGTATTTGTATAAGTTATCTAGTACCAATAATACAAGCTGTAGCTAACTTAACTTGGGTCTTAATGGCGCTGTGTGAATTGTCCTGAGATTTAACATGAATATTGATGTAATGCTGTATAAATATCTTTATTATTATTAAATTATAATGGCGTGTGCTTTTTCATGTAAATACAATTTCTCTCGTTCAGAAACTTATTATTTAGTGCTATTTTTAGTACAATGTAGATAATGATAATATTAAAGAAGGTGTTTTTATGTACAAACCTGTTATGTGAGTCCACCCACACGAATTCATCTGCGCTTGTAACGTTGGTACAGACGGTGTCGAGCGACGGCTGCCTGACCAAAGGTGCTCGGCGCCGACGAGCTTCTGCCGCGCTACCACTCTCTGAAATAATAGCATCCTCTATATAACGACTTCCTTTCTCGTTAAATATTATTAGTCATATGTTATATTTAGAACCACATACGCTAAATTAAAAGGTCTACCTTTTTTCTATCTATCTACAAAGCTTCAAATATATTTTCAAACGGTAATTTATGCCTACCTTACTTCATAACCCTCTAATACGCTACAAATTTATTTTAAAATACTAAAATTTAAAAAAAAAATTTTGCTTAAATTTTTTAAAGTTTTGTAGCATATAAACTAGAGGTCAAACGGACATCCTGTATCCGGCCTATCCGGTGGCTTTAATACTATCCGGCCGAATATCGGATGACTACTATACGGCCGGATAGGCATGCGGCCGAATTAAAAAAAATATCTGGCTAAAAACAATTATTTTTTTAAGTAATTATGTGCTTTATTTAGTTAGTCTTAGTATTTACTTAAGGAATAAAATTAGTTTTAGTTTTAAATTTTTAATCACTCAATAGTAAATGACTGTTATAGAAAGAAAATGAATTTATTAGTTAGATAAGTTCCGCCGGATATCCGGCTATTCGGTCACATGTTTGGCCGAATATCCGGTATCCGGCCAAACTGCTATCCGTTTCATCTCTAGTATAAACATTTGCTATGACTATACTTAATAATAATTCTTCTTTAATACATTTTATTTTTAATATCTCTTGTCTAAATCGCATAATCTCAAAATCAGTGTACATAAACATTGCTACTTATTTGACATTCTTATGGCTAATGTTTTTCGTCTGACATTATCTTTAATGATAATAATAATCTTGTGCTTGTATAACAATTCTTATGAATATAATTATATTATCTTTAATAGACTTACCTTGTGCTCCATTGTTACTCCCGCCACCCGCACTGGAAGCACCACTTGTGGCTGTACTGCTACTGTCACGAGATCTCAGTGTCAGCTGCTTGATCGCCGATCTGATATCTTCGAGACCTCCACCCCCAGGCCACGGCGACTGCAGCTAACGGAGTATTTAATTTATTAACAATAGTTGTTCATGCACGGGATTTTCATTTAATGTTAGACATAGATACCTATATAAATATACATTGTAAATAAACTGGCTTTAATTTGTCAGTTCTTCTCAATTAAATCTGTATCTGAACTGGATGGTAGGGAAAATAATATTAATTACAAAAATTGACGCTCACACGTTGCTGGATGGATGAAATGTCGACAGGTCGGTAACGGTATGCGACCCTCGATTGCCCTTGAAATTAAAGGGTAAAGTTTATAAATATATCATAAGACCTGTCATTTTGTATGGATCTGAATGTTGGCCCGTAAAGGAGATCGTGATGGAAAGGCGTGTGCATGTGGCAGAAATGCTAATTCTGGGATGGCTTTTTGGGGTAACCAGGGTTGTCAGAATAAGGAATGTGTATATAAGAGGAAGTTTGAAAGTTGTGCCAGTTATAGACAAGTTGCGAGGTAACCGATTGAGATGGTATGAGCATGTTATGCGGAGGAACGAGGATCATGTCTTAAGGAAAGTGTATAATATGAACGTGGATGGGGAAGATGGAAAGGGAAAGGACGCCCTAAAAAAGATGATTGTGTGAGCGATGATATGAATAAAAGGAGAGTATGCTCAGATTTGACGGCCGATAGAGATCAGTGGTAGAGAATGACATTCTGCGCAGAACCCAAATAATGGGATAATAGCAAGGCAATGATGAATGACAAAATTTGTCGTTCACAAGCATCTAAAACGTCTTCATGAATATTTTTGTTTGATTGATTTATTTTATTTGATTTCCAACATTATATTGCTACTATTACACATATCAATATGATCACATGCAAATTTAAACACTATTGAGATGTGACTGGGAACATCAACTTTTGAGTTTAGTCATGAACTCAGAGTGACTAAAGAGAATATCTAACATCCGGATTTAATTGTGATAATAATACCTTGCCATGTGGTCGATGTTTAGTTCTGGTGTGCGGTGGCTGCCGATTCCTCCTAGGCTCCTCACGCCCGGCCTCGGCTCCTCCACTGTCAGACATAGACGCATGTCCAGAGGAACGATTCTCATCGGAACTACTGTTGCATTCCCGACCATTCTGTAATCAACAACGTAGCCCTTTGTTCTGCATTCCGAACTTCCTTAGTCTAAGCAGGTTGTATCACCGGCTTGCTTACTGGAGCAATGAGCGCTTGGTAATACTGGCTACAAATAAAAATATGTGGCCACTTAAATTTCGAATATAGAATAAAAAAACAATTGAAAAAAAAAAGAACTGGAATAAAAGGACGCTCCGTATTTTTAACTATATAAAACAATGAAATTATTGATTTAATTATTACAATATAATTGTTTTTATTAAGATATACACTCTGGAGTACGTGGCCACTAAACTGTACTACACATCGGGACGTTCCTGAACGAAGGTGAGTAAGTTTGGTGTTACATTGCTTACTTTGGGGTGTTTTGGTTTCGGAGTGTGGAATACGTTTTTCCCGGGTGAAATCGTATTTCTCCTTCCTTTTCCAAAAATTACTTTCTTTTCAATAAATACAGTCCACTTTCTATTTTATTTATTACTTTATAAGAATTCATAATCCAACACCCTTAATATAAAATAAAACAAAAATATATCGATGCCACTTCTAGCGTTGTTAAGTCATGTCTGCTGATTGAATTAATTTTGTTAAAAACATATTTACATACTACAAATTTGTTACAAACATATTAATAAATATTATAAATGCGAAAGTTTGTAAGTTTATGGATGTTTGTTACTCTTTCACGCAAAAACTATTGAATGGAATTTTGATGAAGGTATACAGAAATATTACTATGCATCAGAATAACATAAGCTATAATTTATATTAAAATTTAACGTGGATAAAACTGTGAGCACAACATTTCATATTTTTAAAAGAAGATACCCTATTAAACAGATGGTTATCAAGCATTTCTTAGGTAATTGGTTAAACAAACATGTATAATAAGTAGGTTCTGTTATTATTTTTAAAGCTGGCAACATTTTCTTAAACGTAATAATTCTTATAAAATTATTGTAATCGTAACATTGCGACTATTGTCGCACTTTCGCTTTCAGACAATTTTTAAACTTCCCACCGATTACGCTTTTCCCTATCACGAGATCGTGGGATCCAGAGACAATGCTCATTTATTTTTTGTGGCAACACTTTCGCCGTTACGGAGCGGGTAATTATTGTAATAATTGGTGCGATGGTGGCTGTTAATTAATAAGATGCTTCAAGTGTTATTACTTCTAAATAAACTGTTCATTCATTCTACTATAAGAAAGTACACGAAGTTACTTAAAGAAAAACATTTTCGGACTACTCTAATGCTGTTGGCTGCAGCTGGCCTTTACAGCCTCACCGGGCGATAGGGGGCAAGTGCAGTTGGTACTCCAAACGCGCGGAAGGACTTATAGAGCGGCTGAAGGACAACTCCTGCCGGACGGAAACGAGTTTAGTCTGGGGGCACCACTAGGGGTTCGAACCTCGGCTCAGGCCGTCGTAATTTCGCTCCCCGTTTGAATTGGACGGGGGATCGATCGGAGGGGGGGGGGGGGGGGGGGGGGGGGGGGGGGGGGGGGGGTAGAAATACCGTAGCACACGAATTAGAAAGAACTAAGTTAACTATTTATTATTTAATATCTATATTATATAATCTAACTAGCATACCCGGCCACACGATGCTGTGGCTAAGGTTCTTTAATAAAATAATATTGCGACTATAAATTGATATTCAATTTCAAATTCAAATTCAAATTCAAAAATCATTTATTCATGTAGGACATTTTAGCCGCTTATGAACGTCAAGTTTTTACATTAGAATTTTTTTTCCCTACCGTCCAGTTCGGTACACAGATCCAATTGAGAAGAACTGGCAAGAAACTAAATTGAATTACTTTTTTTTTAATTCAATTTTTTACAATGCATAGGTATTTATATAGGTGTCTATGTCTAACATTAAATGAAAATCCAGAACATGAAAACTATTGCCATGCACGCTCGTCATACAAGTAATCGTTTAGTGAGTAATAGGCCTTGCTCAGTAAATATGATTTAACAGATGTTTTGAATTTATTTAAGGGTGTAAGATGTAAGCTATAGCTATATCTTTCAAGTTGGATCAAATTGCACACAATGTGCAAATCAAATATGCAATCCGTTCAGTAGTTTAGGAGTCCATCGCGGACGAACAACGTGAGGGGCGAAGGCGATTGTTATTAATGTGAATTGATAAACCCCATTGCCAGCAATGTACCATGTCAGGTTGACCTCCACCTGGAGACCATCATGTTAAATTCCTGCTGAATTTGTCACGATGGGCTAACTGACCTGACCTTATCTGACCTGAGTTAACATCGTCCACTTCCTCGCCAGCGTATACCGTTACCGTAAGCGATGACACCATTCCATTATCAACCATAAAAAAAACAAACAACGTGACACGTAATTTTTATATATATAATATAGTTATGCCATTCACTACTTCTTATTACTTTTTTTTAAATTTGTACATAATAGAAGTGGCAAACTAGCTGACGTCCCATCTGATAGTAAGCGATACCTATACCAAAAAACAAAAAACAGCAATATTCATAATATTAATACTAGATTTAAAGACAAACTTACTGTCCCCAAGTATCGTTTAGAAAAAGTCAATAGGTCTTTTATGGGAATAGGTATAAAAATTTACAATAAAATACCAAAGGATATATTGGAATTACCCATAAATAAATTCAAAACATCTGTTAAATCATACTTATTGAGCAAGGCCTATTACTCACTAAACGATTACTTGAATGGCGAGCGTGCATGGCAATAGTTTTCATGTTCGGGATATTCATTTAATGTTAGACATAGACACCTATATAAATACCTATGCATGGTAAATAAACTGGATTTAAAAAAAAAAGTAATTCAATTGAGTTTCTTGCCAGTTCTTCTCAATTGGATCTATATACCGAACTGGTCGGTAGGGAAGAAAAATATAATGTAAAAACTTGACGTTAATAAGCGGCTAAAATGTCCTACATGAATAAATGATTTTTTAATTTGAATTTGAATATAAAAGCAATAGGAACATCACAGGATGTCAGAACATCTTAGTCTTAACTTTCGGTTGTAGAGTGCAGATGCCATGAAATTATAGGATAAAAGGAATCACAATTTCATCCTCTACTCGCATAAGTGGTATAACAAGTGTCATAGATACCATTATCAAGTAAGGTCGCCAACCATACTTTATAATAACGCATCCTACTTTATTTTTGGTAATTATACACTTTACATACAAATAAAGTATGCAAATATACTTTATTTTCAATCTTTACTATGCATAAAACAAAGTACTCATTATGGGTACTTAACGATTTATAATTACTGAACGAAATGTTACATGTCAATTGTGAGTTGTGACATTTGTCATAAGTCTAGTGTTAAAAGCACGCAAAAATACGTTTTTAAAGCAATAAAAACATAACATTTCGAAAAATACTTTATTTTCCAAATACTTTATTTTTTTCCTATCCAAACCAGTTTAGTTTTTTTTGTCAAAAAATGTTGGCAACACTATTATCACGTGACACCCGTGCGACCAGAGGACTAAGACGTTATGCCTCTTATCCTCATTGCCGAATCTGCACTCTATAACCAATATACAGTTTAAAATACTAGCTGCTTGGGTGGAATAGGTGAGAATGAGTTACCCACGCAAGTTTTTCTTTGTTACATTTATAGTTATCCTCCTATAAATGAACGATACATTTGATGTCATATGGAAATAAAATGTAATCTTTGAGATCTTTAAATGTTAAAAAGTTTAATGACGCGCACCTGTTATGGAAACCCTCATGTAATTTGCAGAAATTAACTTTATGATCATATCGTTAAAATGCTAATTGGAACCTTATAACACTGAGTTAAGTATCTAGTTATTTGATCAAAGGAAGTCACTCTGTTAAGACTTAATTTTTTGTAGGCAAATAACATAATACGGTCAACATATTAGCTACTTGATGGATTTATATTATTTTGTTTAATTCCGCTACAATTAGCAAGTGTGAGACCACAAATATTCGGTGTGGTAACTCGACTACCGTTACGACCTTCTCTAACAGCGATCACATCTATTTAGTCGCAGTTTGGTCGCCGAAGAGTCAACACTAGGCTTCCAAGCTATATTCGAACTCTATTCAATGCTTTATAATCCCTCGTTCAGAGACGAAACACGTGTCAAAATATGGGTGTAGATTCATTAATGGACGGAAATTTACTTGCTCTACTCTTACAGTAGAGCTTCCTGATTCAGACAATATTATGCTTAAGAGAAGGCTTCAATAACTATATATAATTACTAGCTATATTACTACCCACCCCGGCTTCGCACGGGTGTACATGTATTATATATATAAACCTTCCTCTTGAATAAAAAACACTTGAATCACTCTATCTATTAAAAACCGCTTCAAAATCCGTTGCGTAGTTTTAAAGATTTAAGCTTATTTAAATCTTTAAAACTACGCAATGGATTATGAAGTAATTTTTAGTAGATAGAGTGATTCAAGAGGAAGGTTTATGTATATAATACATGTACACCCGGGCAAAGCCGGGGCGAGTAGCTAGTTAATAATAAGTATATAGTGCAAAAAAACAGCTACAGAATAATAACCCATAGGCACAGACAGCGACAGCGACTTTGTTTTATACTATGCAATGAAGTAAACATGGTGTTAACGAAATAAATTTTGTTGATTTTTAATATTACTTTGTTTACTTTTACTGATTAAGTATGATGTTATACATCATACTTAATCAGTAAAAGTAAACAAAAACCGTCAAAGAAGTACAGGTCTAAAATTAAACCACATTAGGCGTTAAATTTGACTAGCATGCAACCTGAATCTGCCAAAAGCCTATTTCAAAACAAAATTGATCGATAATAACAGAACACTTGATCATAATGATCTGTTCACCGTTGGATCCCGTAATACTGATGGCCGAATAGCGTGCGTACGAGCAATCACCGAATTACTCTACTAAGCATGCGGCCCGGCGCAGTGACCCGTTGACATCGATACTAACAAACTTAGACGTTATTACAACTAAATATAAATTATAATTGAATGACAATATAATTATAAAATCAGTACAGAATTGAACCAGTATTCGAATAATGTTGGTGTCTAAGACGTTAGATATTGTTACTTACAAAAGTATGCAACCTGTTTGAAACAGTTTATTTTTAAACTATTAAAAAAAGAACAAACTGATTTTACCTAAACGTCGTTTGGCTAAAGTTAGTAATTCGTTTTAAGGCAATTGCGTAAGGTTTTACAATAAAATACCAGAGTCTGTTATAAATCTGCCAGAAAAAATACTTAAATGTCTAATAAAACAGTTCCTTTGTAAAAAAGCTTACTATAAAATTGAAGAATTCGTTAACGATAATAATATTTTTATAGAAAAACTTTATATCCATAGCACTGACAATATTATCTGATTATACTAATAATGAGTGCGTAGCGATTTCTATGTTGATTGTAGCATGCCTCTTACTTGTTATACTGTAATTATTTATATAAAAAAACATCTATTAAAAAGAGCAACACACAAGTTTCTTGCTCGTTCTTCTTGTGATGAATCTGCATTCCGAATGAGTGGTAGAATCAAAATATGACTATTCAAAAGTGCTTGTAATTAGTTTATTTCTATCACCAACCCCTATTTTTTAATGGCGATTTTAATTCATATAGCAAAACAACGTTTGTTGGGTCAGCTAGTTATTATATAATATTCAGTGCATTCTTTAAATGAGATCTTGTGACCACAACCTTGAAACCACAAGATCTGTGATAGTTTAGTTGACACATTATAAAGAATAGATCCAATTACCTAATAGCAGTAAATCATGTATGTAAACCAGATAACACCACAAAGGTCGCTAAGAGTCTGTGGTCAATGCGGTTCTATGATGTAGTTTTTAAAGTAACCTTTTAAAGTACTTACGGCTTGGAAAGAGGTCAATTAGCCAATAATTTCATACTGTCACACACTGGCAGCCTTACCTTACCCATTGCTAGGATCCGGAATTTGCGAGGGCCTACGTGAAAAGTATGTGATGCGAAAATTTTCCGCTGATTCAAAAAGACTATGCCGTATTGTACATTCTTTTTTAAATAGTTTTTTTTTAATTTATATTTTGGTGTTGGTAATTTTGTTCATTTGCGATTAAATGCCCAAAATTGAGAAGTTTTTGCAACTTGCCACTCGGCAGAGTGTCACTCACTGTTTGTTTAAAATTTGCTTTGGTTATGCGAGGCCCCTGCAAGAGCCAGAGAGCGAGATTGCCCTGTTCGCCACACTCTAAGGCCACCCCTGCTGGCACATCATATTATACTGTACTTTTAAAGACTAGATTTCCGTTTATTTTGAGAACAACCAAAAAATATAACGGTGACATTAAATTATTCGTGGTAAGACTCCACAATTGCGTAAATTTGTTAAAAATGAATTAAAATTTTTGAAAAAACTCCCGGTTTGGAGTTTCCCTCTCTGCCAGACGATGGACCCAGCACGGTGAATTCATGGAGTGCTAAGAAGTTCGATCCCAACCCTCTCTCTCTTTCCGTCTCAGTAAATACATGTATAAATTATTAATATAATTAATTATAAGAACGGCTACACAGCAGTCCATTGTACAACGTTCTTGTACAGCCAAACACCGTACCAGGTGGAGGCAAATTGCAAGGAGCTCTGCCAAGGACCACAACGATACAATACCACAAGATATACCATCATGAAAGCCACAACCACTCTGCCAAGAGCGAACGATTGAAGAAGAAGAAATCCATGGAATGGTAAGAAATAGAAATAGGTCATTCTTTTCTAAAAAGTTCGATCCCAACCCTCTCCCTCTTCCAGATTCAGTAAATTCATGGAATGCTAAGAAGTTCGATCCCAACATTTACCTGAACAGCCGGCACAGTCTCCAGAGACCGATGATGATGGTCATGCTTCGGACGTCGCTCCAATGCGTAGCTGCTCTGCGCTGGAGCACTCCGTACTGGGGCACTGGCCACAGTCAGCTGCGACACAGCACTTACAGCCTTCAGCTGAGCAGTGCTTGGGGTTTCCGAAGTCACTGCTGGAGGCTCTTCATGGTGGGCTGTGGGAATGGTGCAAAGTTTTAGTTGGTAATTGTAATGACGGTGGTCTAGCGATGGTAATAAGGAGGTAGCTGATGTAATAAGTAGTAACTTAGGCTACTTTTATTTTAGAAAAATAAAGTTAAAATCCACGCGGACGAAGTTGCGGGTAAAACTAGTTGTAAATAATAACTGAATGGGGATGAATTGTCCAAGCTAAGAAAAAAAAAAGAATTACGTTTATTGGGCGAAGAGGGCGGCGGCGGGGTGGTGGCGCGGTGCGCGTGCGGCGGGGGGGACAGGCGGCGCGCGTGGGCCGGCGCGGGGGTCGCGCCCGCGGTCGCCACTCGCACGCGCAGTGCTCGCGCGCCCGACACGCCGCCGCACCACGCACTCTCTTCAGAGGGTCGGCAACCGCTCGATGGCCTGGTGGAGAAACGTTTAATGTATAGTTTTTTTTAATGATACGGCCTCGGTGCCTTCGTGGCACCGCCTTACTTCCGATGGTCTCGGGTTCAAACATTTTGTATTCATGAGTATGATTGTTGGTATCGGGTATTTTCGATTTATAATATGTCTTTACGAAAAAAAAATCTATGTATTTATATCAGTTATCTAGTACCCGTAACACAATCTTTAGCTAGCTGAACTTGGGTCTATATGACGCCGTGTGAAATGTCCTGAGATTATTATTATTATTTATACTATTGTAGCATTTTCTCAGCTTTTGCTGGTTTTTTCACCACACTTACGGACCGAAACCAAGTAAGTGTGTGTATTTATTTTTAGTGGATGAAAATGGAATAATTTGCATTGACGGTTTACGCTGGCGGGGCACCAGTGAGAGATGATAGGATGAGCATGAGGTCAGGGTAGCCCATCATGACAAATTCACCAGGAATTTATCACTATGGTTTCTAGGAGGAACCGCATGGACATCAACCCTCATTACTAACAATCATCTTTCCCCCCTTTATCTGTGTGTTTGTGTGACTTATTATAATTATTAATATATAAATACAAGTACAGTTTAGCTTGGAACTAGATGGCGCTGTGTGAATCGTCCAGAGTTACTATGATTGTTATCAAACATCTGCCGATTGCATATTACTAAACTCAAAGATTGTGAAACAGTAGGTCATTTAACTATTGTTAAATTTGGTTAAGGAGATTGGGTATAATAAACGAATTGATAAAGATAGTATCGCGTGACCAACACCGGCACAGACAATCTCACAGACGGCGAGGCGGATGGCGTAAGGCGAATCTAATCGTAAATTGCGCCTGTGACCTGCAATCTTCACCATCAGGTGCATTACGTCGTTTGTGACACCTGCTGAATGACTGCTACTTTACTGTTTTACCATTTTATTTATTTATAAAGAGCAACACACAAGGGGCCGTTCAAGTAATACGTAAGCACTATAGGGGGGCGGGGGGGTCTTTTCTTTGCTTATTTTGGATGACATGGGGGTGGGGGAGTCTGTATGATGATTACGTCATCGGTCGTAATTTACTTTTTTACACGAATGGCAACCCTCACATTGTCTTTGTTAAAAAAACAATACATTAATTGAGAGATGTTTACGTAAGCATGGGGGGAGGGGTAAGAGCTTTGCTTACTTTTGCTGACAACGGGGGATGAGGGGTAAATAATTGTGATAAATCTGCTTACGTAATACTTGAACAGCCCCCAAGTTTCTTGCTCGTTCTTCTTGTGATGAATCTGCATTCCGAATGAGTGGTAGAATCGAAATATGACTATTCAAAAGTGCTTGTAATGAATTTATTTGAATAATGATTATTTCTATTTAATTTTCCTATTTTACTATTTACTTTTGCAATTTAATGTCATAAAAATAAAAAAAAATAAGTATATTTACCTAACCTTTAGGCCATTCTTAGTCATAATGATTAGACTATTTGCTCTTGCAATATCATACGCTGATGGTCACTCAAATTTGAATTTGAATGAATCTGTATTATTGTAAACATGTACAACATTTATTTGAAAAGAATACGAGCTGAGTTTCTTATCAGTTCTTCTCATCTCGAAATAATTCCAACCTGACGGTAGATTTGACATATCATAAGAGTCTGTAATAGACCTACATGAATAAAGATATGACGACCTCGGTGGTCTAGTGGTTTAGCACACCGCTTTACATCCGATGGTCGCGGGTTCGATTCCTCGCACGGCACAAACATTTGTATTCATGAGTACAATTGTTTATGTCGGTCTGGGTGTTTTCTATGTATAATATGTATGTATTTACGAAAAAAAATATCTATGTATTTGTATCAGTTGTCTAGTACCCGTAACACAAGCTTTAGCTAGCTTAACTTGGGTCTAGATGACGCTGTGTGAATTGTCCTGAGATTATTATTATTATTAAAGATATTTTGAATTTGAATAAGCTAGTAATAGGATAAAGGAAAGTTATTGATGATTCTTATAATTTACGTAGTCACAAACAAACATATATTAACACTAAGCAGCACGTGGCCGTATCTTCACGTGTTATATTAATAATGTATTCAACACGTATAAATTAACTTCATTACAGTATATAATTGCGGAAAGAAATGCTAATACGGAAGTATATTATTGTCTGTACATATGCATTTCCAGGAAAGATAAGTATAGAAATGTTACTGACAACCAAACAGACATTTTATATATAACTAGCTGTACCACGGTATCATATGGATTACATCTATAACTTATATGTTATTCTGATGTATAAGCTACTAGCTACATCGCCCGTGTGTACATGTATTATACATATAAACCTTCCTCTAGAATCACTCTATATATTAAGAAAACTGCTCCAAAATCCGTTGCGTAGTTTTAAAGATTTAAGCATACATCACTATGTATGCTTAAATCTTACTGTCTCTCTGTCTGTCCATCACTATGGACAGACAGCGAGAGCAACTTTGTTTTGGACTTAGGATGATAATGAATATAATGACTAGCTATGCGAGCACTATCACCCGGATTGAATTTATAGCTTATGTGTAATTCTAATGTATAAGCAACATTACTGTAAAGTTTCAACAAAATCCGTACAGTAGTTTTTGCGTGAAAGAGTAACAAACATCCATACTCATACTTTTATGTATATAATATTAGTAAGATACAAGCTTTATCTCGTCGCGCTACCTATGACAATACGAGTAAAATTGACACAGGATCATGTAATGAGAGTGAAAGTTCAGTCAAAATCGGTCAAGCCGTTTCAGAGATTAGCAAGAACAAATATTTATTTTATCGATATTTCCATATAAATTTTCATCTTCCCTATCAACCCTTCACAACCCTTTATTCACATTAATAAATAGCCTATGACGTTTCTCAGGGTCTAGACTATCTGTGTACCAATTTTTATTTTAATCGGTTCAGTAGTTTTGTCGTAAAAGCGAGACATATAGACAGACAGAGTTGCTATCCCATTTATAGTATTAGCACAGGTAACATAATTAGTATTAGTAAGGATTTTATGAAGGAATTATTAAATTCCAAGAACAAAAAAATATTAAATAAAATAATTTCCATAGACACATAAACCATAGAGACGCGATCCAAGAAACTAGAAGAAAGGGCGCGACGAAATATGAAAGCGTAACTGACACGTACAAGCAGGCGGCACCAATTGATTTCTCATTCTTGATAAGAGGCCATCCAATCTGCTTATAAACGTACAGATCGTGTTCTATTGGATTTTCTTGTATTGTTATTTATTATATGAAAATTATTAAAAGAAAATAACATAACATAAAATGAAGCAGCTGAGTTTCTAGCCAGTTCCTCTGAGCTGAAGCGGACGGTAGGGAAAGTGGTAAAAAATTATTCAAATTCAAAATATCTTTATTCATGTAGGTCTATTACAGACTCTTATGATATGTCAAATCTACCGTCAGTTCGGAATGATTTCGAGATGAGAAGAACTGACAAGAAACTCAGCTCGTATTCTTTTCAAATAAATGTTGTACATGTTTACCATAATACAGATTCATTTAAATTCAAATTTGGGAGAATAGAGTGACCACCAGCATATGCTATTGCAAAAGCAAATAGTCTAATCATTATGACTAAGAATGGCCGAAAGGTTAGGTAAATATATGTATTTTTTTTAGTTTTATGACATTAAAATTGTTCGTTGCTACTTAAGTAAGAGATATCGCTGTAATTTAACATGTTATTAATGACGTAGACACAAACTCGAAGTCAAATTCTTTTTTTTTCGGACTACTCTAATGCTGTTGTTCGCAGCTGGCCTTTACGGCTTCACCGGACGATAGGGGGCGAGTGCAGATGGCATTCCAAGGAAGGACTTATGGAGTGGCAGAAGGCCAACTCCCGCCTGATGGATACGATTTTAATCTGAGGGCACCACTAGGGGTTCGAACCTCGGCTCAGGCCGTCGTAACATCGATCTCCGTTGTATTGGACGGGGGATCGATCGGAGGGGAAGTCAAATTCGTGTAATTTTATAGTTTTATATGTTTGCCGCTTGTGGGAGTCTGCTTTGGGCTTATGAACAGTGTTGCCATGTCAGTGTACTTATACTAAATTCCCCCAAAACACAGTTTATGAAAAAAATCGCTTCAATATTACTAGCTGCTGATAGTCGCGCTACCCGCCAGAAACTAAAATATCATCCTGATCATCTCGATGAAAGGTGGTTGCCACACATAATCACATCAATCAACTTCCTTATAGAACATCACTATATATTATTTTTTTTTTAGTTTAAGTTTACCTTTTTTTTATACTAGTACTGGTGGAAACCAGCATACGGTCCATCTGATGGTAAATGGTTACCATAGCCTATGGATGTCTGAGACACCAGGAATGTTACGTGCGTGTTGCTGATCCTTTTTTTTATTGGGGTGCTTTGGGCTATTGTCAGGTGCTAAGATCTGTAACACTGCGACCTGTATAGATCTATTGTGCTCGCTCTTATTCAAAGTTCGCTACCTAGACCCGTGAGGGACAAGAATTGAAGGATATTCTTAGGAGCGATGGTTTTTATCTCCTCAGGACATAATGTAAACTTTCTAAAGGAGATATTTCGTTTATGCATTAGTGGGCTACAACCACATAGGATGTCCATTGACGTTTCTCCTTCTGCTTGGCAAATTTAGCAGATTATTTAATAGATTACCTAAGGCCTAATTTCGCCATGTGCTTATTCACCTTGCAGTGTCTAAAGAGGGCCCTAGTCATGAAGCATATATTATATATGCCGTCCCTTAAGAAACCTTAAAATATCTTACAATAACAAAACAAATATTCACAATAGGTGAATGCTGAATAAACTGAAAATGAGCAAGAAACTGTATTTTTCAAATAAACGTTGAGTTACGAGTACCTATTATACAATCCTACATGTTTCAACTTTCTATCATAAACAATTGTA